CGAAATGTTTGAACCCTAATCGTCGAAATTATTGTCGAAACAAAACTATTTCGCCATCATGTATGATTAATGCAAAAATGAAAAAAGCTATTTATTAATTTCAAATTTCGAATTTTGATTACAAATTTCGATTTTGATTTCGAATTTCGATTTTGATTTCGATTTTGATTTCGAATTTCGATTTTGATTTCGAATTTTGATTTTTTTCGAAATCTGTTAAGGTATATTCGAAATGTTTGAAACCTAATAGTCGAAATTATTGTCGAAACAAAACTATTTCGCCACCATGTATGGACGCGAATTGATTTTTCTTTGGAAAACAATCTATTGTTTGACAGATGACAAAATGTGAGTGTTGTTGTTTTATTATTCTATTAATTATATATATGTTAAGTAAAATATTGAGTTCTATTATAATTACCAAGAAGATTATTAACAAAATATCTCAAAGATAAAGATTTTGAAAAGCAGCATAAGGACCATACTTTAAAACATACAACATATACAAGGAGAGAAGAGAAAGTTGATAGAAAGTCTATTTGATTATGATTAGTGTCATAGCTATTGTTATTATTTATTATATTTCCAAAGAAAAGATAAGATTTTTCACCTTGTTCCTTTTGCAAAATGCTTCTGATTGCACTGTAATTTGAGATCTTATGTAAATTAGTTTCATATTTATACTTTTATATGGGAATGATCCAATCATCATTTAAGTGTATTTCTGCAAGTAAAATTTATACAAAAAAGAAACACTTAAAAAAGACATTTTTCTCAATCAAACAACAAAGAACCGCATTTGAAGATTCAAGCTTTGTTTACTGAAAAGGTCCTCCAAGGTCGAGTTGATTATCTGAAAAGACTATCCAAAGTATATCAAACTGCGAGTATAGCAGAATAATTCTAATATATAAATTCTGCCAACTGAAATAATGTGTATGGTCTTTTTTGCATGGTAAAAACTTTGTTCAAGATGATAAATAAAACATTTTTATTTTAAATTATGATCGCATTGTAAATTTATTTGGAGTCAAGAGACTTGATTTTTAACAATAACAACAACAATGGGGGATTTATTTTTAATTTTTTTTATTCTTACGTCTATTTAATTCTCTTTTTTTGATAATTAGTATAAAATTTATTATTATTATTATTTAAAAATTATTTTTATTTAATATATATAATTTTAATCTAAAAAAAAAAATAATACATACAGTATATATATTTTTTAATTGGATGATGATGTCACATTATTATTATTGTTGTTGTTGTTATTATTATTATTATTATTATTATTTGCATGAATTTTTTGATGACGACGAAGGTTACTAACGACAGAAAAATGACGACCACAACCATCTACTGGACATTTAAATGCTGTAATATATTTTATGTATTTTACCAAAAGTAAAATAAAACAATTAATATAATGATTTCAAAATATAAATAAATACATAAACATAGTCAATCAATCAATCTACTTACGCTTTTCACCGGTATGACTATACATATGAGTTTGTAAGGAGCTTGGCCGTGTAAATCTTTTTTGACAAACAGTACATTTATACCTTTTAGGAGTCGAAGAAACAGTTCTTGAACTGAAAGTTGTCATCATTTCTTGAGGTGAAGTAATTTGTCTTGATGGTGATTGTTGCTGTTGTTGTTTGTTATTTGGTGAAATATTGAAACTTGGTGATGGAATGACAGCTATACCATTTGTAAATCGGCCAGTAAAAGTCATTGAAGGATAATCTTGTGGTGTTGGAGGTGTTGTTAAAACAAAACCTGCTGCACCATTCCTATTATCAAAAGTGATTGGTGCTTGATTATAATAATTTATAGGAGCATTGGGAGTTGCAATTGGAGTAGGTACAGAGGTGGCTGCGGTTGTGGCGTTAGTTGTGTTATCGTTTGTAGAAGAAGGTGTAGCAGTAGGTGGTGGTGGTGTAGCAGTAGAAGTGGTGTTAGCAGCAGCAGTTGCTAATTTCATGGAGGAATCGGCTGAGAAGAGAGCAGGATCTAATGAACGTTCATCAAAACCTTTTGGTTGACCAAATGTATATTGTGATGATGATGATGACGATGATGCATTGTTCCATGATTCAGAATTTGCTTCTGTTTTAACACTATTAACATACATACATATATATATATATATATATATATTGTAATAAAATAAAAAAATTAAGCAAGAATTCTTTTTTTTTTTTTTTAAAAAAAAGAAAAGTAAATAAAGTAATATACTTTATTGTCGATGATGTTTGTAAATTAGTGGTATTGGATGTTGAAGAAGGCGTTGTTGTAGAATTATCAGATGTGGCTTTCGTCGATGATTTTGAATTATCATCATTATTTGTTGTGATTTTGGTCGTAGCACCTTGTTCATTATTTGCTGTATTGTTGTTGTTGTTGTTTGACCCGGTAGAAGCAATTGTATCATTATCATCATCATCAATAATATTATTATCACCATTATTATTCATGGCATTTTCAATAATTTGTTGTTGTGAAGAAGTTGAAGAAGTTTCTTGAGAAGTAATAATATTATCAGTCATGATTATTTTATGTATTTATATAATATAAATAAATAATAAATAAATCTTGATTATTTTCGTATTTTTTTTTGTCGATGAAAACTACAAAAAAAATTTTTTTGAATAAAAGAAGAAATCCAATTAGTAAATCTTTATATACAACGTACATGATGATGACGATATGATTTTCGTATAGAAGAAAAGAGACGAACAACAAATTACCTTTTCTTTCTTTCTCCTTCGTTAAAGAAAAAGAATAATTTTAAAGTCTTGCTTAATGAAGAACAATATTTATAAAGAGAAAGAATAGTAAACTAATATATTTTATGTGAAACCGATCAATTTAAAAAATTAATCTTTTTTTGTATTTATTAAGAATAACTTGTACGAAAATAGTAAGTAGAAAGAGGAGTAGGATTGAAATGTATTTATTAAATTTAATTATTTAAGTACTATCATTAATATGTAAAAGAAAAAAAATTTAACTGATCTCAAGTTTTTAAAAAAGCTATAAAATTGTAAAAAAAGAAGTTTTAAAAAAATTTTTTTGAGAAAAATAAAAGTTTTTAATATTATATATAAAATATATTATATTAAGATTAGATCACAAAATGTAAAAATATGGAAAGATTGTCAAAAAGTTTATTTATATTTTACCTAATTCAGTTATAAATTAATCAGGCCAAGATTTTTTAATATTAATTTGTTCATTTAATTTTCCCTTCCCTTTGAATTGATGCATATATAGAAAGATCATCATCACCATTCATTGTCACGCAATATCAATATATATAGCAGTTAATCCGTAGATTATGTAGTTTATAGAATATGATCGCCAAGCCACTTAATTGTCCGGGGAGATACGCATAGATACGTATCATACTGATACTAATACATATCAGTCAAACGATTCGTCACTCAACGATTTTCAAAGTCTTTTGCCGTCGAAATTTTTATTAGCCACAAACCTTAATTTTAGTTCAGCCATATTTTCCAGAGAAAAATCTTGGTGTTAAAGTTTATCAACCAAATTTGGAAATTAATTATCATTACCACTGATGATTTCTTGTCCATAATTTTTCCTATTTGTGTACTTCATTCTTTAAACCGAGATTTTTAGTTAGTCTTAGTATCCACTAATCGAGATCCGCTAAACTGAGATTCACTCTGTATCGATTGATAAATTTATCAATTATTCTTTTGCTTTTTGCCATTTTCAATATACCCATATGAAGAAGGCTTGTAATATTTACATCTTCTCAACCACTCATCAATGTTTATAAAGGTAATGTTGGAGAAATTTTTTAGTTTTAAAGTGAAAAGTAATGCTGATTTTGAATAAATATAGTTTTACATAGAGAACCTCTATCAGTATGAGAGAGAGGATTCATTAGAAAACAGTAGGATTGATTAATAATGATATAAAAATATAAATGAATAATCGTGTAGTTTGCCGTTTTTTTCTGCCGTTTTTTTTTGTCGATCAATATTTATCACATCCGAAATTTGTCAC